CAAGAATGTCAACAATGTTGAATAATTGAATAATTACCAGAACAATTCCCTAGTCCGCCCAAATGATCTTGACTTATTCACAGAACTTACATAACCTACCAGCTGTTTTGTTACTAAGCAAGGAAGGAGCTGTATCTTCCACCTGTCTCCTGTACCTGTTTCTGCCCCACAACACAGTTTAATTTCTATTCCTCATCTCTGCTCTCCTACTTTTTATTCTGTTGTAAGGCAGTTATGAAGCCAGGCATCTCTCTTAAGATGCAAAACAACTTGCTTATGGCAATTCCCTGCTAAGATCATAAAAACCAAAAAAAAAGGAAAAAAGCAAGGTACAGGTTGGAAAAATGAGATATATTCTTTCTCTCATAATATAAGCCAAGTGGCCTGTAACTCATTTCATGTATTAATTCTTTTGCATAAAACTTCTAATTTCTCATCCAAACAACAAAGTAGCTTAAATATACACAGTACTTCTGTGCTTATAAACATTAACAACTTCTTGTGGATTACAGAAATGACTATGTCTAAAGAATTTCAACCTTCATTAAAAAATAAGGATATAAGCTGGGTGCAGCAGCTCATGCCTGTAATCTCAGAACTTTGGGAGGTCGAGGCGGGTGGATCACCTAAGGTCAGGAGTTCGAAACCAGCTTAGCCAACGTGGTGAAACCTGTCTCTATTAAAAAATACAGAAGACAGGTGTGGAGGCAGGCACCTGTAATCCCAGCTATTCCAGAGGCTAAGGCAGGAGAATTGTTTGAACCCAGGAGGTGGAGGTTGCAGTGAGCTGAGATTGCGCCACTGCTCTCCAGCCTGGGCAACAGGAGCAAAACTCCGAATTAAAAAAGGATATAAGTGTCCATAATGCTACCAATAATGTCACTAGTGACTCAGGTGAACAAAAATAGTCTGCTTTTTACTGAAATTAGTTTCAGGTTCCAAATGCAGTATTAAGGAAAACATAAAATTGGAGACATCAATATTTTAAGAGAAACACACAGTAGTCTTCACTTAAACTTGTGATGCCCACTGAGGGTTATGCTTTATTTAGTGAGCTACACAATGAAAACCTTACAGGCGATCTGCTTACTGGACAAGCTACCCTGCTGACATGTGACTCCAGGCAATCTCCAATGTGGAGGGAATAAGATGATGAACTTCCTCTCTCAAATGGAATACACTACCTATTTGTGTTCTATTATTCTTTGTTGATATGCCAGCAAACCATCACTATCATTTTTCTGAGTGAATAAACCCAATCACCCTTGATGTGGCAAAGAAGAGTATTTAAAATTAAACATATTTTCAACAAAAATAGAATTTTGTACAACAGGAGGGGATTTTTTTTAATTGCTAAAAGTTTATTTTTTCTATTATATAAAGCTAATATATATTCATTATGGAACACTTGGAAGATAGATACACAAAAAGAAGAAAATAAAAATCATCCATAATCTTAGCTCCTCCCAGGTATAGCCACTATTAAATAATTGCTTGCTTTTCTGTGTGTGTGGTTGTTTTTGTTGTTTTAATAGGGGCTGGGTTTCACCAAGTTGCCCAGGCTGGTCTCAAATTCCTGGGCTCAATGATTTGCCTGCCTTGGCCTCCCAAAGTGCAGGGAGGATAGGCCTGAGCCACCACACCTAGCCTGCTTGTTTTTAAAAGAAAAAATTTATATACAGAATTAACAAAAGTAATAAAATCAAAAGTCTATTTAGCTTAAACCTTGAAGAGAAATAAAAAGCACAAGGCTATAGTCATTAAAACTCTTAATAACTAGACCTGGTGTGGTGGCTCAAGCCTGTAATCCCAGACCTTTGGGAGGTGAGAGGATTGCTTGATGCTAAGAGTTCGAGACCAGCCTGGCAACATAGTGACACACTAAAAAATTTAGGCCGGGCGCGGTGGCTCACGCCTATAATCCCAGCACTTTGGGATGCCAAGTCAGGTGGATCACCTGGGGTCAGGAGTTTGAGACCAGCCTGGCCAACTGGTGAAACCTCATCTCTACTAAAAACACAAAAATTAGCCAGGTATGGTGGCATGTGCCTGTAATCCTAGCTACTTGGGAGGCTGGGGCAGGAGAATCACTTAAACCTGGGAGGCAGAGGTTGGTACTCCAGCCTGGGGGACAGAGCAAAACTCCATCTCAAGAAAGAAAGAAAAAAAAGAAGGAAAGGAAAAAGGGAAGGAAAAAGGGAAGGAAAAAGGGAAGGGAAGGGAAGGGAAGAAAGAAAGGAAAGAAAGGAAAGAAAGCAGAAGAAAGAAAGAAAGAAAGAAAAGAAAGAAAAGAAAAAAAAAGAAAAGAAAAGAAAAGAAAAGAAAGACTTTAGCTTGGCATGGTGGCAGGTGCCTGTAGTGCCAACCAGCTACTCAGGAGGTTGAGGTAGGAGAATCAACTAGGCCCAGAGGTTGAGGCTCCAGTGAGCTATATGATCATGCCACTAGACTTCTGCCTGAGCAGCAGAGCCAGACCTTGTCTCAAAAATAAAAACCCCTCTCCCCCAACACAATTTTTATTTTGAAAAACTTCAAACCTATAGGATAGTTCAAATTACCATTCAAATCACCCAGACTCATCAGTTGTTCACATTTTGCCACATTTGCCTTTTCTCTCTACACACATACTTTTCTATTGTATGTACCTTTTAACTTTACATATTTCAATGTATTTCCCAAGAACAAGGACATTCTAAGTGAAAGTAATGTTTTTATGAACTAATCAAATTTTGCAATTCTTTCTATAAGGCTGACCAAGATAATGGAGCAGACTTCATAAAACTGTGATTAGCTTGTATTAAAGTTTATTTTCTTCCTTTTTGCCCCACTTCAGGTGACTGTCCTCTGGAATATAGTTTCTCAACCTCAGCACCTATGACATTTTGGGCCAGCTAATTCTTTGCTGGTGGAGGGGGGCCGGGGGGGGGGGCGTCCTGTGGCCACAGGATGTTTAGCAGAGTCCTGTCCCTTTATCAACTAGATGCCAGTATCACCCTACATCCAGTTTTAACAACTGAAATTGTATCCATCACTGCTCTGCGGAGGGCAAATTGCCCCTGGTGAAAAAACGCTGCTCTCTCTCAAAGAATAGGGCCCTCCAATCCAGATGAGGAATAGCAATGATAATGATAGCATCTATTGATTTACTGAATGCGTGCCATGTGGCAGCATGTTCTAAGCAGTGCACATGGGTTAAATCATTTACCCCTCAGAATAACCATCTGAAATGGGTGGTGAGCACTTTGATCTCACAGAGGAGGAAATAGACACTGTGAGGTTAAGTACCTTATGTGAATGAACAAACCAAAGAATGGCTTCCTGCAAAAACTGAGATCCAACACTATGTAGCTGAGCCACTATTCTTAAAGTAAAAGGTAACTTTCATGGTACATACTGCACTTAAAAAGGAAAAAGGTTCATTTGTGAAATTAAAAAGAATAAAAGGACGTAGGGAAACAGGCACTCTGTCATATATTGCTAATAACTGTTCACACTGATGCAAATTGTTAAACTCCCCTCCAGGAAGGAATCATGTGACTTAAAAATGTGTATGCCCTTTTACCCAACAATTCATCCTAATAACCAGTTATACACATAAAACAGAAGTGCAGTGATATTTACTACAGTCTTTTCATAACACCAAAAAAACTGGAACTATATCAATACCCAAATACAGAGTTAAATGACAATACTTTTCGTACAAAGTCATTCTACAGAGCCATTAAAAATAATGAGCATATCATATCAAAAGATGTTCATATGTTTAAGTAAATGATAAAGCAGAATGAACGTCATAATCCTAGTAACTACACACACAGAGGCAAAAATGTTAAACATGATTATTTCCAAATGATGAGATTCTAGTCGTTTTCCTTTAGCTTATCTGCATTTTCTGTTTTTTCCACCTCCCATTTTAGCTTGGCTTTTATTCAAAAGTTTTATTTTTTATTTTTTGACTTCTCTTGAGGAGCAGGCTACCCCATAGGCAGTATGCTGAGAGTAGCGTATTCAAAAGTTTTTAAAATGGAAGTTCATATACAGATGAAAAGGAGATCCCTTTGACATTGGCAGAAGTAACATACAGTTTCAACTACGTGTACTCAATTCCAGAGATCCATACTATGTTATAAAAATGTGTGGTTACCATTGTTGAACAAATTGTGAATAGCACCCCACAGACTGTGTAGGAAAGTTTCTTGGTTAGTCAGTAGGACCGGTCAGTTGTCTAGCCTACATCTTAACTCAGCTGTGATGCTGTGGGATGAATTCTACAGGTGATCTGACGTGAGTCCCAGAGATGTCTAGGAAACTGACCCCAATTGTGGTTCCAGAGTACCGAGTTCAGGAACGTACTCAGTCTAGACTAAAAAAGCCTAGAAAGACTGAAGCTGATGGATGAATAATTTGTTTATGTCTGATTCTGATTCTGTCCCACTCTGCAACCACACTGTGGTTTAACTCTAGGACTCATGAGTGCACCTGGCAGGTGAGGCATTCTTTAGTGCATATCTACTTAAGACTGGACCCAGAGGTGACAAGTACATTTTCAGGCCATCATCCACAATTGTTCGCCCGTTGGAGAAATTTTATTTAACTTGGAAACGTGGTCCACCTCTGAGCTAACTTTTTTTTTCTTTTCATTCTTTAGATAAGCAAACTGTTTAATTTTACCCAAACGGTTTCTCTGTCTGGTCTTTCCATCAATCCACACTAACACCATCCTTTGTCATTAAAACAGTTGTGCAATTCTTGACTCCACTAAATAAACCACGGCAACGTGCAACGTTTTTCAAAAAGTGGTTTTGGAACGCCTGAGGTAAGTCCTCAGGAGGTTTGAATGCAGAGTGCTACGTTTTAGCACATCCACACTTGGTACCTTCATCTCTCACTCTGGAGTGCTGCCTAGCACAACAGAATATCAAGTGCCTGCCCCTGAAAGCACATGCCCACTCCTATGAAGGACTGCAATGGTCCTACAGTCTTTTCATGCCACCCTGTACCTCTGGTAAGATGAACTGTTCCACGGGCTTGTACCACAGCTTGTTCACCTGCACACCACAGCTCGGAGGACTGAAGCGAGCAATGAAGAGGGCCTCCTACGAATTGGGAGAAAAAGACAAGAAAAAATTACTCATGCTATACGTTGCATATGCAACAAGTTTTCAAACACCTTACATCTTGGTTAGCTAAATCCACAATGGCCCTAACCACGGTTACTAACATGGTTCTACTGTGGTTTTGGCATCATTTGGGTTTTCTAGTGCAGTCATAGTTATTACATAATGACACTTCAGGTAATCAAAGTTGTCATGAAGTTCTCAAATACTAAACATAATCCACATAACCTTAAAAAAAAAACCCACCTTGAAAGAAAAAGTATTAAGGAAAGTGAGAGGTGTTGTTAAATTAAGCCAACATATTATAGTGTCGAAACTCCTTCAAAAAGTTAAGACTGAACGGAAAGACCACAGATTTCTACTGGAACAAAAGCACTCAGGAAAATCCCTTCAAAAAGAATCTTCAGAAGAAAATATAAACAAAACAAAAAAGGGAATATAAAAGAGGATTGGGGCTAGGCATGGTGGCTCACGCCTATAATCCCAGCACTTTGGGAGGCTGAGGTAGCCAGATGACTCGAGGTCAGGAATTCCAGAACAGCCTGGCCAACATGTCAAACTCCATCTGTACTAAAAATATAAAAATTAGGCCGGGCGCGGTAGCTCATGCTTATAATCCCAGCACTTTGGGAGGCCGAGGCGGGCGGATCACAAGGTCAGGAGATCAAGACCATCCTGGCCAATATGGTGAAACGCCATCTCTACTAAATATCCAAAAATTAGCTGGGCATGGTGGTATGTACCTGTAATCCCAGCTACTTGGGAGGCTGAAGCAGGAGAATTACTCGAACCTGGGAGGTGGAGGCTACAGTGAGCCGAGATTGCGCCACTGCACTCCAGCCTGGGCCACCAAACCAGACCCCATCTCAAAAAAATCAAAGATATGTCTATGGTTTGCTTGGACCCCCTCATTTCCTCTAGGCAACATTTCCTCATTCTCATGCCTATTCTTATAGACCAACTTACCACAGGGGAATCTTCTGCTAAGCTATTAAAACCATGCAGGGGTTCAAAATTAAGCACATTTCAATAGATTATGTCTATTTCTTTCATGAACACCAGTTCTTTGCAATGCAGTGTAAGAATATTTTTTGCATTGTGACTACCCATGAACCCATTAGAATCCATTTTAGACTAGTCCTTGCTTGAGGACAAAGATTAACTCCTCCGTGGCTAAAAATATGGCAACTAAAAGTTATATCAACATGATCAAAATATTTCATGTCTGAACCAAACTACTTGATTGATAACTCACACACTACAAATAGTTTTGTTTTTTTGAGAGAGTCTCACTCTGTCACCTAGGCTGGAGTGAGTGTTGTGATCATGGCTTGCTGTACTGCAGCCTCAACCTCCTGGGCTCAAGTGATCCTCCCTCCTCAGCCTCCCAAGTAGCTCGCACTACAGGAATATGCCAGCAGAGCTGCCTATTTTCTTAATTTTTTTGCAGAAACGGGGTCTCACTGTGTTTCCTAGGCTAGTCTCGAACTCCTGGGCTGAAGCAATCCACCTGCCTTGGCCTCCCAAAGTACTGGGGCATGAGCCACCATGCCTGGCTAATAGTCTTTTTAAAACTGTGTCATACAAAGATGATTAAACAATTGTTTCAAAAAAAAAATTCAAGATTAATCCTGATTTCTAGATAAGGATAATAGTGATACTCATCGAGTTATTTCAGTTACCTATCTGATCTTCAGCAATGAAACTATTAACTACAATCACATATGAACTCCTATAGTTGAGGAACAACAAAGCTCTTCTCACTGTAATCATTATCGCTGGCATCATCAGTAGAAATCCTACTCTTCCCTCTGTGTTGTATTTATGTCTATAAACACATCAACAAACTAGACAGATTATTTAGAGGAAGAACAGGGCAAATTACAAAAAAGAAAGTTCATCTCAAATTTAGTTGTATATTTATTGGTGAGTAACACTGTATTCATTGCCAATAATCAACATTAATAATACATTTAAAAAAACTGAACAGAGTTCTGCTTCCAGCAATATCAGACCAATTCTCCGATAGGTAATAATTAAGAACTCTGGATGAATCATAAAAAACAATTATTTAAAGGCACTGGAATTCAAACAAACAGGTAGAAACTGGAGAAGAAACAGTACTTGGAAGAAGGAAAAGGCTGTAAATATGCATCTCCCCCCTCGGCCCCTTCTTGACTCTTTGTCTGAGGGTACAACTCTAGGGCAACGGGAAGAATGAAAATCTGTAGTCTTTCTGCTTGAAAAATTAAGAAGACAGAATTGGGGCAAACACATCAGTCTATAAAATGGGTTGGGGGAACCTCCCAGAAAGGAAAAGATCACAGAGAGAGAGGCATAAATTCTTCATATTAACTCTGCCCAAATCTGTGGCTGACTCATGAAATACACATTCAAGGCAGAACCCAAGTAGCCCACCCAAGGCCAAAAAAAAACTGAACGGAGATTTTAGCTGCTTCGCATTGCAAGTGAGACAATGTTTAGAGTCTGTGTCCAGCCAATTTCACTGCCTGCTAAAACAAACAAACCAAAAAATCAATACTCTTTGAGGCAAATATAATAAGATCTAGAGTTCCTACAACGAATTATTTACAATATCTAGGATACAAGGCAAAGATAAGGGCCAAGCGTGGTGGCTCACACCTGTAATCCCAGCACTTTGGGAAGTCAAGGCAAGAGGATGCTTGAGGTTAAGAGTTTGACACCAGCCTGGGCAACACGGTGAGACCTGTCTCTACAAAAAACTTTAAAAGTAGCAGGTTATGGTGGCACACGCCTGTAGTCCCAGCTACTCCGGAGGCTGAGGGGGGAGGATAGCTTAAACCCAGGAGTTCAAGGCTGTAGTGAACTGTGAATGTGCCACTGCACTCCAGCCCGGGCAAAAGTGTGAGAGCCTGTCAAACAACAACAACAAAACCCAAACCAAAAACCCCCAAAATACTAAACATAAAACAGAAAAATGTTCCCCATATTTTAGAGAAAAGATAATCAATAAAGACAGACGCTGAGATGACTTAGAGTAATCATACATAGATTTTAAAGCTGCTGTTGTAACTATGGTCAAAGCTGTAGAGAAAAACATGCTCAAACAATGAACACGCAGGAAATTTTAGAGAAATAGAAACAGCAAAAAAGAACTAACTGGAAACTGAAGAAGTACAAAGTGTAATATTTAAAATACATCTAAAATAAAAAATTCATTGGATAGGCTTAACTTCAGATTTGAGATGACAGAAGAGTCACTAAACTTGAATACAGATTAACAGATGTTATCAACATTGAAACATAGAAAAAACTTGACTAAAACGAACACTCTATGATCTGTAGGACAATATCAAAAGATCTAACATACACGTAATTAGAATTCCAGGAGGAGTAGAGAGAGTGAGTGAAGTCAGAAAAGATTCTGGACATTAATAGCTGAAAATCCCCCAAATTTGGTAAAAGACATACATTTTACGGATACTAGAAATGTGGCAAGCCCTGAATAAAACAGACCAAGGGGGAAAAAAAGAAGCACACCAGGGCTGGTGCAGTGGCTCACGCCTGAAATCCCAGCACTTTGGGAGGTTAAAGGCGGCAGATCGCTTGAGGTCAGCAGTTCCAGACCAGCCTGGCCAACATGGCAAAACTCCATCTTCACTAATACAAAAACCAAGATCATGCCACTACGCTCCAGCCTGGGTGACAAAGTGAGACTCCGTCTCAAAAAAAAAAAAAAAAAAAAACAAAAAAAAAATTCACCAATCATATAATATCACGAACAAGTCTCAAAAACATGATGTTGAGTGAAAGAAGCTTTACCCAATAGAGTATTTACTAAATGATTTCACTTATATATGAAGTCCCAGAACTACTCTATGGTGAAACAAAAAATCAGAACAGTGGTTGCTCCTGGGAGATGGGGAAGGAACTGACTGTGAAGAAACATGAGGCAATTTTCTAGGGTGATATGCTTCGTATCTTGATAGCGACTTGGGTTATACCAGTTTATACAGTATAATCACCTTAGGTCAGGAGTTTGAGACCAGCCTGGCTAACATGGTAAAACTCTGTCTCTACTAAAAATACAAAAATTAGCCAGGCATGGTGGCACACGCTTGTGGTCCCAGCTACTAGAGAGGCTGAGGCTAAAGAATCACTCAAACTCAGGAAGTGGAGGTTGCAGTGAGCCAAGATCATGCCACTGTACTCAAGCCTGGGTGACAGAGCAAGACTCCATCTCAAAAAGAAAAAAAAAAAAAAAAAAAGGGAATGCACATTTCACTGTATGTAAATTTTAAAAACCATAAATATTAAAGTCTAATTAATGATATGCATGCTGAAGTGTTTAGGGTTGAAGTGTACTGATGACTGCAACTTACTCTGAAATACATTGTAAAAAAACATAGGTTGATGAGTGGAAAAAAAAAATATATACGTAATAAACCAAACACAGAAAAACATTAACTATTGTAGATATATAGTTAGTGGCTATAGGGGTGTTTACTGAATAATTCCTCCAAGTTTTCTGCATGTTAAAAGCTAAAAATCAGATCTTTCAAATACGATTCCATGCTACTCCTTCAGATATACTCTGTGAACAAATCAGATTTCCCCACATATCAGGAACAGAGAAACCTCAATGGTTTAAACTTTTATTCCTTCTACATCCTTATTACAAAAAAGATGTGAAGCAGCTGTTAGCCTTGTATTACGGACTTTTACAGTTGGAAGAAAGAAACAGTAATACTCACTTATCCTAACAGTCCTAAACTTTTTATATCCATTACCAACTTTTGAAATTCCCTAGCCTTTAGGGAATTTTAGGTTGGAGACTTCTATTCTAGTCAACTCCTCCTTTTCTAGATATAGCAATAGCACGCTTATTCATAGATAGCCTATCCGCAAACCAGTCTTATATCACATTACAGTGTATTTAGTCAATAGGGGAAGGAAGGGGAAAGTATCTTAAACCAGAGAGAATTATATAGTCTTCTAATTACTTACTCTATGTCATAAGAAAAAGTTGATGTTTTTGAAAAAGAAAAAAGAGAAAAAAACTTGTACAAAGCAGTGCATACCTCTTGTTCTGCCTGATAAAGTTTGACGGTGATGTTCCTCTGGAAACCCACATTGTTGGCATCATAGAACACTCCAAGACTGGTAATAACGATGGGGTAGAGAACTCGGAAACTCACACTGACAACTCGATCCTCAGAGAGCCCTGATGAAGTCTCTTCGGACAGACTGAATGCTTCAATTTCCTGATTCAAAACTAAGTAATGAGAACAGGTTTATATAACTGAACAAATATAATCCTTTGTTTTACTAGTAGGAAACAATGAAGTGGACTTAATGCCAAAAGCTAGGTAATTATTTGCTATATAATTCACAAATGGCAGGAATTAAAAAAAAAATACTTGAGAAACATGGCTGCTTCTATATAAACATTTTTGAAATTGAAGAATAAAGTTTTCAGCCACATCTAAGTACATTAATTGTCAGAACTACTTCAACAGCTTTTTGCATACATGTGTGCATGTATAACTGCCATAGGAGATATTTAAATTTAAGTCAACTGGAAGGCATCTATTTGGAAGGGTTGGATAAATAGAAATAATAAAAACAGTACTGACTGTAGTCATAAATAATCAGTAAGTTTGGTCTTACTCTGCAAATTCCAAAAATCCTACTTCTTGTTAGGCAATTTTTTTTTTTTTTTTTTTTTTTGAGACAGCGTCTCGCTCTGTCGCCAGGCACCAGGCTGGAGTGCAGTGGTGCGATCTCGGCTCAGTGCAACCTCCGCCTCCTTGGTTCAAGCAATTCTCCTGCCTCGACCTCCCGAGTAGCTGGGACTATAGGCGCATGCCACCACACCCAGCTAATTTTTGTATTTTTTAACAGAGACGGGGTTTCACCATGTTGGCCAGGATGGTCTCGATTTCTGGACCTCATGATCTGCCTGCTTCGGCCTCCCAAAGTGCTGGGATTACAGGTGTGAGCCACCACGCCTGGCCCTTGTTAGTCAATTTAAAATATATGTGATACGTCAGGCAATTATCACAGTATAAATAAGCAACTAAAGTCACTTCAAATAACATTTGAAAAACTCTTCCTGTACAGCATTGATAAAAGATAAGCATATCAAACACGGTTCTGAACCACCTTCCATGTACCATTCCCCATCACATTTACATCTTCCCAACTCCTCTTGTGGTGTGGCATTATCTCTACTTTACAGATTAAGAAACTGAGGCCCAAAGGGATTAAGCAATTCACTTAAGGTCACAGAAAGTGGCAGATCCAAGAATCAAGCCCGGTTTAGTGATTCAAAAGTCAGTCCTCTTTCTACTCCCCAACAGCTGTCTAATCAGTGCCATAACAGTTACTTTCAAATAACTTCTTTTCTTTCATTTATGTATTTCTTTTTTTTTGAGACAGTCATCCAGTCACTCAGGCTGCTGTCCAGTGGCATGGACATGGTTTATTGCAGTCTTAACCTCCTTTGCTCAAGGGATCCTCCTGTTTCAGCTTCCTGAGTAGCTGGGACCATAGGCACACACCACCAGCCTTGGCTAATTTTTTGTAGAGATGGGGTCTCATCATGTTACCCAGGCTGGTCTTGAACTCTTGACATCAAGCAATCCTCCCACCTCAGCTTCCCAAAGTGCTGGAATTACAGGCATGAGCTACTGTGCCCAGTCTTCAAATAAATTTTCTAATTACAATAAATGAATTAGGATACATTAAATAAAGCAGTTAATATGGCAGAGAATATCAGTGCTACTTTAATAATATAAAACCCTATTTTAAAAGATTATCAAAGTCCTTTGTATTTTTTAGAGCTGTGGTTTTCAAATTTTGCTGACTACAAAACCCCATCAGTTAAAAAAATTTGTACACACAGTCATTTACTTACAAATTATATGCATATATTGTGGTGAATCTATACATTCAGTATTAATAAAGATTGTATTTTCTTATTTTCAGATAAATACAAATTCTAAGCCTGGGCAACACAGCAAAACCCTGTCTCTACTAAAGATACAAAAATTAGCTGGACGTGGTGGTGTGCACCTGCAATCCCAGCTACTTGGGAGGCTGAGGCATGAGAATTGCTTGAGCCTGGGAGGTAGAGGTTTCAGTGACCTGAGATTGTGCCACTGCACTCCAGCCTGGGCAACAGAGTGAGACCCTGTCTCAAAAAAACAAAAACAAAAACAAAAATATACTTTCTTCCTACACTCTAGCAGATCATTTGGATGTCCCTATTAGAGTTCCTAGAAGCTCTTTACACTCAGTAGATGCCCAGTAAAATGGGGCTAAAGCAAAGTGATGCCTCAGACGTCACTAGAGACATGAGCAGGAGAGGAAAAAAGGGAGAATACAGTTTTTTGTCATGGGCTAGGCAAGCATTAACCGGAGAGTCTAGACTACAACATAATGGATAACAATATAATTTTTTAAAAGATATTCAGTAAATAAAAGATATCCATATTAGAAACCTCTTTATTAAAAGCAGTATGTCAAGCACATTATAATATAGCATTTTTAATATTTTCTTATCTAAAACAAATGTGCCTTGAGCTTCAAGTTATGTGGACACAGGAAATCCCGTTGCTTTACTGTGCTATTAATCAAACCTTCTACCACAGCCACAGTGTCATGAGTAATGCTTATCATAACCTTCAGGTACTGAAATAACCATAACCGCCCTTTGGATCATTGAAAAGATAAAATTAAGGCCGGGCGCGGTGGCTCAAGCCTGTAATCCCAGCACTTTGGGAGGCCGAGGCGGGTGGATCACGAGGTCAAGAGATCGAGACCATCCTGGTCAACACGGTGAAACCCCGTCTCTACTAAAACTACAAAAAATTAGCTGGGCATGGTGGCGCGTGCCTGTAATCCCAGCTACTCAGGAGGCTGAGGCAGGAGAATTGCCTGAACCCAGGAGGCGGAGGTTGCGGTGAGCCGAGATCGTGCCATTGCACTCCGGCCTGGGTAACAAGAGCGAAACTCCGTCTCAAAAAAAAAAAAAAAAAAAAAAAAAAAAGAAAAGATAAAATTAGGTTCAATATTAACTTAGTTATATACACATTTAAAAAATTCATAACCTAGGGGTATTACAGATATGAAAATGTTCTATTAATAAAAAATTCTGCTTCTTTACTTTTCATAAACAACAGCACTTAAGATAATAAAAGTATGGTTAATTTAAAAGTGAAGGGCTTCTTTTTGTTTCGTTTTGATTTTCAATTGTAATTTGTTGAAGGAATACCGAATCATCACGTGATATAACATTCTATAAGATTTATGATCCCTTTAAGACTCCAGTGGAAGCCAAAGGACATTCTCCCCCGAACACAATTCATACATAAAATTTTCTTTTTTTTTTTATTTATTTTATTTTTTTATTTTTTTTTTAAGTTTTCTTTCTTTTTTTTTTTTTTGAGACGGAGTTTCACTTTTGTTACCCAGGCTGGAGTGCAATGGCGCGATCTCGGCTCACCGCAACCTCCGCCTCCCGGGTTCAGGCAATTCTCCTGCCTCAGCCTCCTGAGTAGCTGGGATTACAGGCACGTGCCACCATGCCCAGCTAATTTTTTGTATTTTTTTAGTAGAGACGGGGTTTCACCATGTTGACCAGGATGGTCTCGATCTCTTGACCTCGTGATCCACCCGCCTCGGCCTCCCAAAGTGCTGGGATTACAGGCTTGAGCCACCGCGCCCGGCCTCCATACATAAAATTTTCTTACAATGTTAACTGAATTCATAGAGATGCTAAGAAACCCCTGTTTTATAACACAGACCTGAATATATTGTCCGATTTATTTAAAAAGCTGTTTGAAACCCAACTTTTATAAAATGGCAGGCTCTTTTAAATAATGTTAAGTACCTTCCACCTTCTAGTACCTATTCTAAATACATTATATGTATCAACTTATTTCACCCTTATGTCAATCCCCATGAGGAAGATTCTTTTATCCCAAGTTTACAGGTGATAAAACTGAGGCAGAGGAGGTCACACAGCTAGAAAATGGCAGAGCTTGGATTTAGAGCCATGGAGCCTGCTTATAAAAGTGAGGTGTTAATTACACAGTTTTAACAAACCTTAAAATGCCAGAAGTCTTAATCAACATATTTAAGACTTAGAAGTTTAAGCTCCCTTAGAAACACAGCTGAACATAACAGGAAGTACTAATAAACAGAGAGTTATAAATTTATCAACTTCCTAAAATTGGTTCCCTCGTGACACACAGAGAACCTAATTAGGATCAGCTTTCTTTGTTGTTTTTTCTTCTTTGGTTTTGAGACAGGGTCTTGCTCTGTCCCCTAGGCTGGAGTGTAGCAGTGTGAACAGATCATAGCTTACTGCAGCTTCGAACTGCTGGGCTCAAGCAGTCCTCCTTCCTCAGCCTCCTAAGCAGCTGTAACTACAGGCATGAGCAACCATCCTCCGCTAATTTTTTTTTTTTTTTGCAGACATGGGAACTTACTATGTTGCCAGGCTGGCGTGGGCTCCTCCTCCTGCACTGGTGTCCCAAAGTGCTGGAGCCGCCTTCTTTATCCTCACCAGAATTTTTACAAACTTTTAATTTTAAGGCATAAATAATGTTACTTGTGTTTTAATTTTTTTTACTATTTGTTTCTTTTACAGAAATAAATTAGACAATAATTCTAAGAGAAAGTTGATTCACAATATTTGTTTCTTCTATTAATTTATAATAACCTTGAAGAAGTTAAAATCAGCAGTTTTCCAAAAGTTCAAAATTTGGTAATTCAGGATTTATCTTAGTATAAGGAACTTCCAAATATATATGAATCACACTGAAAAAATAAAGTCTCCTGGATCCTGAAGTTTCAATCCTGTAAAGAATCTCTACAGATACCCCAAGTCAATCTGTCAAAAATGATGAAACAGGCCAGGTGCGGTGGCTCACACCTATAAATCTCAGCACTTTGGGAGGCTGAGGCGGGTGGATCACAACAGCTGGCTACCTCCCTGGCTGACCCCAGTGAGGTCAGGAGTTCGAGACCAGCCTGGCCAAGATGGTGAAAGCCCATCTCTACCAAAAATACGAAAATTAGCCAGGTGTGGTGGCAGGTGCCTGTAATCCCAGCTACTCGGGAGGCTTAGGAAGAAGAATCACTTGAACCCAGGAGGAAGAGGTTGCAGTGAGCCAAGATGGTGCCAGTGCATGCTAGCCTACATGACAGAGCAAGACTCCATCTCAAAAAAAAAAAAAAAAAAAAAAGATGAAAACATAAATTTGGATGAAAGACATTTTAGTCTGTTAAAAACAGACTCCAGGGAATGGTGGCTCATGCCTGCAATCCCAGTGCTTTGGGATGCTGAGGCTGGTGGATCCTTTGAGGGCAGGAGTTCAAGATCAGCCCAGGCAAGACGGCGAGACCCCATCTCTACAAATATTTAAAAATTAGCCACGTGTTGTGGCACATGCCTCTAGTCCTAGCAGGGTGGTGAGGCAGGAGGATCACTTGAGCCCAGGAGTTTCAGGTTACAGTGAGCCATGATTGTGCCACTGCACACCAGCCTAGGTGACAGAGCAAGACCCTGTCTTTAAAAAACATAAGTAAATAAAATAACAAATAACAAAACAGATTCCATACCATCAAGCTCAGCAACTTTTACTCAACATCGAGCTTGTATATGGCAGTTGAGGGAAAAGGTGACTTACCTGGGTTTGTGATGTTGAGTAGTTTACAGGAGTAAGGATCCTCCCTGTCTTCCACAGGCACTTCACAGCCATGAGCACCTATTATGAACTTCACAAGCACACTGAGAGATGTGTTGGCATTAACATCAGTTACTGATCTTCACCTCGCACATGCACGTTTCCTCACGCCCATTTCAGAGCTTTTACTTTTGAGACACAAGTGTTTATAACGATTAATTCTCTACCTTTATTCATCTAGTCTAGCAAAATGGGGGAACAAGCAAACTAAAAGTTGCTAACTGCCAAGTTACTTATGCATGACTCCTTTGCTGCAATGGTATATTAAAGCAAGTATGAATACGTCTGGCCTCGCTACCAGCATGTTAGTATCATTTAAAAGCAAACTATGGTCAAGTCAGCTTCTCATGCCCCTACCTAAAAACACATCTGTATCTAAAATTTTCCTTTTTTGCCTTCTTCTATTTCAGAAGGTGTTCCTTTTGCTCAAGATTAGGTCTTTCCATCCAAGAAGAAATCCCCTTCTCTCCTAGACTTTGGTTCACTGGTTACCTCCATAGCTAGTGGCTCCTTCCCTCCACATTATAAGTCCTGACTCTAATTTCTCTTCACCTTCCATCCTTCCTTGCCACCACACTTTACACTGAGGTCCTACAAAGAAATTAAAATTGCAGCTTCTTGTTTCTTACTTCCCACTCATTTTATAAAACAGGAGTTTTAGCTTTAACATCACCACTTCCACTGAGATTACCACTAAAGTAACCAATGATTTGCTGCTAAAAATCAATAGATATTCTTCAACTCTTACCCTCCTGGCTTCTCCATGGCTCAAAACTGCCCATCTCCCTAAAATGCTCTCCTCCCTTCCTTCAGCGGCTTGCTTAGTCATCTTCACTGGCTCTTCCTCCTCAGCTTGTCCACTGAGAGTGGTATTAGTCCAGGGCTCTGCTCTTGGGTCTCTTCTCAATCTACTCATTTTTTTTTTTTTTTTACTTCCTTTCCCTAGACAGTACTATTTATTCCCAAGGCTTCAACTAGCATGAGAATGATTCTTCAATTAGTAACTCTAGTTTTTTCTTTTTTTTTGAGATAGAGTCTCTGTCACCCAGGCTGGACTGCAGTGGCACAATCTCAGCTCTCTGCTGCCCCCGTCTTCCAGGTTCAACCAATTCTGCCTCAGCCTCCTCAGTAGCTGGGATTGCATGCATGCGCCACCACATCTCGCTAATTTTTAAATTTTTAGTAGAGATGGGGTTTCACCATGTTGGCCAGGCTGGTCTCAAATTCCTGGCCTCAAGTGATCTGCCTGCCTCGGCCTCCCAAAGTGCTGGGATTACAGGCATGAACCACTGTGCCCGGCCCTGAGTTAGTAACTCTAGTTTAGGCCCAGGTTCTAAGTAAAGGACCTGTAAATTCATTGGACATCTTCACCTAGATGGCCCACAGAGAGCTGTTTGCAGAAGCCTGCTACTACTGGCTTTGAGAGCCAAGTGTCAACTTTTTAGAAATTTTGTGAGATGGTTATTAAACATAGCCTTTATTTAAAATTAAATATATATTAAAAACAAATACTCAAATTAATCACTTATTGTTTTACTACATTTTGCTATTATCTATGATCTTGACATCATTTATATTTCTTACATCTATCTACATGGTGGAAATAGTATATATGGCATGCTACTGCTTATATTTCCCCCACTCTGTGCTCAGTGATGTCACATTAGTTCCTTGAACTGGCTACGGTGGGAATATTCACACCATAGAAACTGGCAAATAATACAAATAAGGGTTTGGCTTATTGTTTTGTTGGTTGGCTAGACTTAAGAAAGTATAGAGAAAATGTTGATAATGCAAATTAAGCTTAATGTGATGTGCCTATCTATAGCTATTACATAGTGAATAGTACAAAAAAAAGTCAAGGAAATATGATTTCAGTGTTCAAAGACTATTACCTGATATAGCACAGAAGTCACTGACTATATTGACCAAGTGTAAAGCTGACATCTTAGCTGTCACTTTAGTCTTCACTGTTTGCTTAAAAGACTTTTGCCAGAACTACACTGTTTTGTTAACTATAACCACAGTTGGCCACAGACAAGAGAATCTGTCAATTACAGGCTGTATATCCTTTATGTCAATGAAACGTATAATAAACAGGTATATACATATAAGCATCCTTTTTCCCCGAGAGCCAGTTATTAAATCTTTATCAGTATGCCACTGCCTGCAGGAACTTCAAAGTCAACACATCCACAACTGAGCTTCTTTCCCATGAATCCTGCTCTTCTCATGCAGTATTTTTGTTTTGATTGATGATTCCACTATTCTCCAAGTCCCAACACTTGCAATCTTCCTAGCCTCCTCCTCCATTTTCTATATTCAATGACTTTATTCTCTCATAAGGTCACCTCTGTAGATCAGCCCCTCAGCAGTTCTTGCCTCAACAGGTCTCACCCTTCCACTTAACCCTCCGCATGCCTGTTCTACATGATCTGCTCACTGTCTGCCTCTCAGTCAAATGCTTCCCTCCTCTTCTCCTCTCTTTATTTACACTATTACACCTATTTCCTTCTACTAAATGTCAAGCCCCCTCAAACACTCAGGCTATACTGTATTTATCTTTGTATTCTACCACACATAGTACACCATCTGCTTACAGAAGTACTTAGCATTGAGTTTGGCTCCTTTGGGGAAATCCAAGAATGGAAAATATGCCATAACCACAGAAATACACTTTGTTACTAATAACCAACTAAGGCAGAATACCTTCCATGGACAACTGGCATTTGGAATAAAAGTATAAACAGAAATGAATAATCTGCTAACTAAATTATTGCAAGTATGTACCAAATTTGGTTTTTTAGCCATCTTACTAGATATTCTTACTAGATCCACAAAATTACCGTATCGCAGGAAGGTGTTTTTGCCTAATACCTGTTTTTATAGAAATAGCCAATCATTTTCATAACACAAGCTTACCAAGTTTAAAGCAAGACTGTTGTTACGATGGCAAATAAATTAGTGAACGTCCAAATATTAACTTTACTCATTTAATTCTGAGTCATTCATTCAATAGCTGTTGAGTCCTTAGTCTGCACCAAGCTAGGTTTTAGGTATTGGGAATACCCCAGTGAAAAAACCTGAAGCCCCAGTGTTCATGAAACCTACATTTAAGTGGAGAAAGCTAAACAATTTGACAGCTAAATACAATACAGATGCCAGTTGGTGATAAGTGTTACAAAAAAAAAATTAAAGCCAACTAAGGGAAGACAGAAACAGGACAGGGGTGGGCTGACCTATAATTTAATACAGAGCTGTCTGCTAGAGTAACATCTAAGGAGAGACCTGAAGGAAGGGAGTGACAAGGACATTAGTGAGAAAGGAAGGAGCAAATTCAAAGGGCCTGAGGCAGGAGCACTTTTAGTGTATGAAAGTACAGTAAGGTGGCCAGTATAGCGAAAGTAGATGTAGATAAGGTCAAAGACCACAATAATGACTTGTGGTTTCACTCTGAGCAAGAAAGGAGGTCAATGGAGGGGTATGAATAGAGAATTGACATAATTTCACTAATCTTAAAAGGACCACTCTGACTGCTGTATGGAAAATAAAATGTAGGGGGTCAAAGGTAGAAGCAGTAAATTCAGAGAAGGGGGCTTCTGCAATAACCCAGGTGAGAAGTAGTGGTGGCCTGTATCAGATGGTAGTGGTAACGGTGGTGAGAAGTCGGATTCTGGGTGTAGTCTAAGCAGCATTAGAAAGCATGCTGATGGACTAGATGCGGCATATGAAAGGAAAACTCAGGATAACACCAAGGGTTTTGGTCTGAGCAACGGTAGAGGAGTCATTATTTTCTAACAGGGAAAGGCAACAGAAGGTACAGCTTTTGGACGTGGTTCTGACAGTAGTGATGATTCTGAGGTCTTTCATTTGCTGTGCAATAGGCTCTATTATTATTGCAACCATGAACTAAGGAAACCCGTCTTGAAAAGGAATGAAAGCTGCTGTGAGTAAGCACCACCAGTGACAAGAAAATTCACAACTAGGCTGGGCTCGGTGGCTCACCCTTGTAATCCCAGCAGTTTGGGAGGCCGAGGCAGGCGGATCCCCTGAGGTCAGGAGTTCGAGACCAGCCTGGCTAACATGGTGAAACCCTGTCTCTACTAAAAATATAAAAATTAGCTGGGTAAGGTGGCAGGTGCCTGTAATCCCAGCTACGTGGGAGGCTGAGGCAGGAGAATCACTTGAACCTGGGAAGTGAAGGTTGCAGTGAGCCAAAATCATGCCACTGCATTCCAGCCTGAGTGACAGAACAAAACTCCATCTCAAAGAAAAAAAAAAAAAAGAAAGAAAAGAAAATTCACAACTGCAATTTGCTTGTATAGCTACTCAGTCACAAATGTGCCAATGCAATTCAATTCTGAAAGGGCCTTCTCTGCTTATCACCTGAGTCTTCACATAACAGAAGTCAACTTTCCATGCATTTCTTCCCCTAGTTCCTCACCACAGAGTCTTCAGAGGCAGGTCTCACTGGGAACAGACTAAGGCTTTGGGCCCCTAACTAATAACTGAGAGCTACTTAATGTCAGCATGAGATGGATTACCAAAGCTCAGTTCTGGAAGGTTAGTCAGAAAAAAGAGCATGGCATATTATACATACTGCAGATCACACAAGTAAAAAATACTACAAAACTGAAAAAAACTAAATTTATCTCTGTGAAGTTAGTGAAAAGTATATTTAGACACGTGCATGTGTCTAAGCAGAGAAATGTTCTGGAATAGAACCTTTTAAAAATTGCTATTCTAAATTAAAGAAAACAAACAACAAACCACACTGGGTATCTAAATACTACATATGTTAACCAATGAATATGCTCTCTCCCAACTATCATTTGGCTTAAAATCTTGGTTAAATTTACTTTTTGGCCCAAACTATATGGAAGAAAAGCAAATAAAACAGCCATTTCTCCAAAGAAGAGGCCATATATATGAATGAACATTTCTATTCAAAATAAGGTTTCTCAGAACTTTTTTTTTTAAGTTAGGCAGGGTCTCACTCCCTTCATGCAGGCTGGAATGCAGTGGTACAATCACAGCTCACTGCAGCCTCAACTTCCCAGGCTCAAGCAATCCTTCCACCTCAGCCTCCCAGGCAGCTGGGACTACAGACATGTACCACCATGCCTCACTAGGTTTTTCAGAACCCTTATTTCAATAAGCCAGGCAAAGTAACAACTCAGAAAACCTACCGTTGACTTAATGTGGGATGCTTTAGCAAATGCCTCAGCCACGTGTTTCTTATCACGTTTCGAAGTTCATGGTTATTGCGAGCTGACAACACGCCAACTACCACATCATAGTGACTAGATTTCCACTGAGGAAATAAGGCCAACTGATCTAGGAATAAGAACAATAAATCAGAAATAAGTCATGTCTCAATTACTGTGAAGTTCAATAGGTATCATAAGTTTATTAAAAAGCTTATGTTTGTAGGAAATTCAGATTAATACAAAGAAAAAAAATTTAAATCACATATAAACCCATTATCCAGAGATAACCACTAGTAACATTTGGTGTAGAGTCTTTTTGTCTTTCATGTATATGTATGTATTCATGTTCACATAAGTATATGAATTCTTCCAAACAAACAAGATGTTTGTGGTAAGAATCTGTTTCAAAACGCAATGTAGCATAAAAACATATAACAGTAGGCAGTAAGAGTCACTTAGGCCACAGTTAGAATCTGGGCTCTCCATATATTAGCTATATGTTACTTAGCTTCTTGAGCTTCAGTTTCCTTAAATACAAAATGGTTATAATACTTCTCATGGAGCTCTTGTAAAAGTTAAATGAGATAACATATATAAAGGTCTTGACTTGGTATTATGCATATAGGGAGGCATTCTATGGCAACTAAAAAAAATTGCTTTGAAAAGCGAACTCCTACATTAATGTTAGTTACTACGTTTGGGGGATGAAGTTGAGGGACTTCCCTACTGGAAAGTAATGCAACCTTTATTTATGTCAATGAATTCTATGGCCACTAAATCTTTTACTACCTACTAAATATTCTAAAGAATGACGGGAAAGCAACATTTTTAGTAAGAAAATAAAGTAACAAGTCATTCTGAACGGCTCATTTTTTATCGTCATAAGGTCTAATGGGCAGAATTACATTTCCATCTAAAACTTGTCCTTAGAAGACGGAAGAGAAAGATATACTTTGCCCTTGTTTTTCATCACCAGTTTTAAGGCCTGAGAGCTACAAGCTTATATATAGCTCTGATGAGGTATCCATTTCATCTCTTTCTCCAGTGGTGGGAACTGATCCAAAATGTTTCCAAAAATAAATTATTGAAGCCCAGAATCTTTACTACATTAAATGCAATGTTTTTATATACTAAGTATTCAGTCTAAAAGACAACCAAACCACGTTGATCTTTTTTTCAAAGGCCCAATTAATAAAAACAGATCTTTCTACTAGGATAATTTTAATAATATTGTGTACTTTATTTTCCACAATAAATATATTTCTTAAAATGTTCCATTCCAAATGGAATAGAGGTATTTATTATTTCACCCTATGATGAGTCTCGTACTAAAATGAGTTCTTTTATAAAGACAGAATTTATTTTTAAATAAATTCAAATTTTCAAAGCTTATTAATAGGCCATGTTTATTGAACACCTAATCTGTGAAACACACTACATATAGAATATCATTTAATGTTCACAAGCCTATGAAGTAGGTAATTGTTGAACAAATGAAACACACAGAGAATTCAGTAACTTGCCATAAGTCAAACAGCTTGGAAATGGCTGGGCTAAGCTTTAATCCCAGGCAATCTAACTCTATTCTTTATCACTGTTTTATTCTATAGCTATACAGCTTAATATAGCTTATCTGAGTCTAAATTCTGATCTTTTTATCCATAATACGAGTGCAACTGAATTAGCAATAAGCAGATCACTGAACACGCTGGTTAACACATCAGTTTTTTTCAACTCATGGCCCAGAACATTTTTTCTCAGATACGTAACTGTATGATGTAAGTTGTACCTAGTGCTGGAACTCACTCTAAATGAGTGTCTGAATTTGGAGACTAATTTAAATAATTATGTAAAATTGACAATATGACTCCTCACCTTTTTCAGAGAGAAATATTAAGTACATTCTAGTGTCAGGAAGGAGGCAAAGGTAGTGGTGACCAGCCAGTTCTGACATTGATTCCACAGCCAACATTTTGTATTATCTTAGTAAAAAGTTATTTAAATCCCTGTGCTTCAGCTTCTTAGAGAAAACTGATACAAAAAAAGTCTTTGGATCTTCTATTCCATTTGTTTCAAAGCCTCATCTCAAAGATTAAAAGCCGTAGAGCAAAAATCACATTTAATCTAAATGCCTCATTTATCTGACATCATCAGAAAACAAGGATGCTGCACAAAAGCAATTTTTCAAAATATCGTAAACATCCCTTTTAATGCCAAACATTTACTACCTTATTTTTAATGGTTTATCAAAGAAAATCTTTTAGAAATAGATTACATAGAACATAATTTAATCTTTTCTTGATGAAAGACTCAAAATCTTCATGAAAATTTCTCAAATCTAGGCTGGGTAAGGTGGCTCACGCCTGTAATCCCAGCACTTTGGGAGGCCAAGTCAGGTGGATCACCTGAGGTCAGGAGTTTGAGACCAGCCTGACCAACATGGAGAAACCCCAACTCTACTAAAAATACAAAATTAGCCAGGCATGCTGGCACATGCCTGTAATCCCAGCTACTCAGGAGGCTGAGGCAGGAGAATTGCTGAAGCTGGGAGGCAGAGGTTGCAGTGAGCCAAGATCATGCCACTGCACTCCAGCCTGGGCAACTACAGCAAAACTTCACCTCAAAAAAAAAAAAGAGAAAGAAATAAAAAGAAAAAAAGAGAAAATTTCTCAAATCTATCCCTTTGTCATTAATTCTAGCTGCTGCTTAGTTAAGTCTGTTTTTTCACCTGGACCAGGACAAGGGCATCCTAACTGGTTTTTACCTGACTTCTCCATATTATTGTCAAACAAGATTTTTCTAAAAATAATAAATACAAAGATAAATATGTGGCATGTGAAAATCCCACAGATTATGGATGTAAACTACTTTTTGATCTTATTGTACCTCTCTGTCACTGTCAATCCTCCCTGCTTCTAATCCATGTCTAAGCTGCTTTTGTTCAACTGCTTTACTTTACATGCATTTCTCTTTTTCTTGCAGAAGGGAAGTAACACGGGATATTGTGGTCTTTTAGGGAACTACTTCCAGATATATTGAAGTCAAATTTCAGAAATACAGGTTTTTTTAACCACATACCATTAATGTAAATTAGCTCAACAGACTCCTGACTACTGTGTCACACAGTACAAAATCCGAAGTGGACGCATAATAAATACTTAGGTAAGAATGTTGCTCAAATTCCTAGCTCCCCTTACCAACCTGGCTCTAAACTCATCACCTTCTGTTATATGCTACAAGAAGAGAGTGCCTAGTTGATTCTGGTGTCTAGAAACAGGAAAAAAGTGCTAAGAAGTAAACGTGATACAGAAGGACATAATGATAATTCACAAAAGAAGAAAGGTAAATAGCAAACCTATAGAAAAAATGTTCAACTTCACTAGGAATCGAGTTTGAATTAGAGCAACGGATACCAGTTTTCTCCTACATTCAAGCTGACAAATGTCTTCTTAAATAACTAAATGATGGGTACTTCAAGGAAATATTAGTGATCTCAAGAAAGTGTCTACTCTCTTTCATTGCTGGAAGGAACGTAATTTGGTACAGTCTTCTGCAAGGCAATTTGGCAACATATGTCAAATAATTTAGAATGGTTTAACTTTGTCCAGCAATTCTAAGAACTCATTCTAAAGAAATAATCAGCGATACACTCAAAGATTTTTATTAATCACAGTGTCACCAATTAATAACGAAAAACTGCAAGCTACCTAAACGCATAAATAAGGGACTCGTTAAATAAATTATGGTGTAGCTGTATGACAGAATACCATGCAACCATTAAAATTACATGTTAATTGCATCATTAAACATTATTCTATTAATGTATTAAAATAAACAGGCTATAGGAACTATGTACATACTAGACGGTTCCATTTCTATAAATTACAGAAGTAGTCAAATTTCTGCCACTGGTTACCATCCCTGCAGCAACAGAACACAGCATGAAGGGGACTTCTGAAGCATTGATAGTTTTCTTTTTTAAAATTTGGGTGGTGATTAGTTGGGTGTTATCAATTTGTGAAAATATATCAAGCTGCGCCAATTTTATTCTCTAGATTTATTCATTCAAATGATAGAGCATCTCCTATGCTCATTGTTCTAGATGGCATAGATAACAGCAGTAAACAAAATCTTCACAATGTCAGGAATAAATCAAAACCCCAAGCAAGCTCCCTGAGGGTAATGTAAGGGCCAAAGGAACGTTTTCCCTCTGAAGGTTCAGTGAAAATCACTGACAAGAGACTGATTAACAGGAGAAAAGGTATATAAACTTATTTGATCAGTTTTATATGACATGGAAGCCTTCAGAATGAAGACCCAAAGATACAGGAGAAATTGCCCATTTCTGTGCTTAGGTTCAACAAAGTATGGACAGCTACGTGATAAGACTGGACAGAAAGGGGAAGAACTAATGTTAATAGATGGAGTGAGAAAACCCAGCAAGGCCTGCCTGCCTGTCTGGAGTCTTCTTGTCCTGAGTTATAGTCTTTCCTTCTGGGTATGGGATAGGACCCAGGTCCTTATAACCTGTAATCAAAGAAGGTAGACTAGGTAATTTTTATATAGAAAGGTGGTTGGGGGGGGGTAGTCTGAGTAATATTTTTATGTTTTATGGTTGGCTTTGGGGAAGAGGAATTTTAGTTTCCATGGCTAGCCTCAGGTAAGCATGCAAAGCCAGAGAGAGGACAGCAGCAGCAGCAGCTCAGAGAGGGCTGCTTCTGAGGCCTTATTTTGGGGTATCGATTTTTTCTGAGACCTTACAGTAAGGACTATGTATTTTCTTTAATGTGTAATATATCCTGAGAGTCTGGCAACCTGCCTGACTCTGCACTGAGAGTAGACATCCAAAAGTACATTAAAGTCTAAGGGAGGGCCCAGTGTGGTGGCTCATGCCTATAATCCTAGCCCTTCAGGAGGCTGAAGTAGGTGGATTGCTTGAGGTCAGAAATTCGAGACCAGCCTGGCCAACACGGCCAGTCTCTACTAATAATACAAAAATTAGCTGGGCATGGTGGTGCACACTTGTAATCCCAGCTACTTGGGAGGCTGAGGCAGGAGAATGGCTTGAACCTGGAGGCAGAGGTTTCGGTTAGCCAAGATTTTGCCATTACACTCCAGCCTGAGTAACAGAGTAAAGCCATGTCTCAAAATAAAAAAAAGAAGTCTGAAGAAGGCTGACATCAAAATTGATTGCTCAAAATAAGCCCAAGAGTCTTAAAAATCAAACCAAAATTCCACTCTTATGTGCATGCTTTGGAAGAGATCAGTCACAAATAGATATAAATCTTGAAAATGAAGGCCGGGCGCCTTGGCTCCCACCTGTAATCCCAGTACTTTGGGCGGCAGAGGCAGGCAGATCACAAGGTCAGGAGATCAAGGCCATCTTGGATAACATGGTGAAACCCCGTCTCTGCTAAAATATAAAAAATTAGCTGGGTGTGGTGGTGCGCAGCTGTAGTCCCAGCTACTTGGGAGGCTGAGGCAGGGGAACCTGGGAGACAGAGGTTGCAGTAGGCCGAGAATATGCCACTGCACTCCAGCCTGGTGACAGGGCGATACTCCGTCTTAAAAAAAAAAAAAAAAAGGAAATCTATCACAGATTTAACAATAAGGACAATTATCATACACAATACCAAAGACACCTCCCAAAACACCACACTAGCACAGGCATCAGCTGCCAGCAGACTATTGCGCCTGTCTAAAACTTATGGCGTGTTTACTAGGAAATGGGCACTGTTCTGCATGTTTCACTAATTGAATCGTCACAGTAAGTCTATGAGATCATAATTTATAAATAAGGAAAGTGAAGCATAGAGACACAATTAGCATTTAGGGATAATTTTGGAAGAACCTGCCCCAGGCAAAATTACAAAGCAAGCTCAGTTTGTTTTTTGACCTTCTACTTGCCCTATGTCTGTTTCCATTAGATACTGTGAGCACCTTGAGAGCAGGGACTAGGCATCTAGCATAGAAGCTATGTTGAGTGACTACGTATCTGTTGAGTGACTATGCTGCTTTCTTTTGGTTTCTTTCTTTCCAGATCCACTAGAAAGAGATGCCTTCTTTTGTCACATTGTTTTTCTAAATTAACCGTTAAATAATTCCTATTTAGGGCATTCCCAAAATGAGTATTTTGTCATCAAGATATCCTATGTTTAGATTCCTTAGTCTGATCGTTATCTCCACCTGCATTTTTCTCTGTCACTCTTAGGTGTGCTGGATTTCACTTCCACTTTACCGGTTGCTTTCCCTCACTGGTTTAAGGGAAGTCATCACATTAAAAAAACTGCAGATTCTGGTACTCACTCACTCACTTCATTTAAGTCCCTCCTCAACTGTTATCTCTTCAGAATGGAAGGGACTTCCCTGACCTATTTAAAAACAATCTCTTTCATCTCTTAACACTGCTTTCTCTTTTTTCGCCATACTTATCACTATCCGATGTGATAGTTATAATTATTTCCTGATGCTCTGCCTCCTCTTCTAATTTGTAAACTCCCTGAGGGCAGGGAGTTTAGCTTGATTACTGCTCTAATGCCACACCTACAACAGGAGCTGGCACACAGCAGGCTCTCAAATACTTGCTGAAGCAACTGCCAGCCAGAGAGCTTTTTTTTTTTTTTTTTTTTTTTTAAATATTCAGGGAAGGTAAATCTCTCTTTATAAAAAAAAAAAAAAAACAACTGCCATGACTTAATGAG